TCATTTTGCTCTTCTGAATGAGTTAAGTCATTCTCTGGACATACTTCTCGAATTAATTTGCTTATTTGAAAGATTGCCTGAGGTGACGAATAGTATTGACCTAGAGGTGATCCCTAATTTTGACCAAATAATCCCGCCAAAGAAATCTTGTGATTCTTGATATTTATGTGGCAATAACCTAGTTGTCATGACAGCCAACAAAGGTGGAGCAGTAGTAGTTTTGGATAGGTCAAGTTATGTAGAAAGAAATGTCAGCTCATTTAAATGATGCCGACACGTCAATGCCTTTACTGAGAGATCCAACAGAAAGGCTTAAGACTAAGCGGTAGCATATTCTTAAGATGTGCATTAGTAATGGGTAAATGAAAAAGTGGAAAATGAATTCACTATTCATGCAATGGCCCCCACGGTTGTTGAAAATAATAGACTATGGAAAACGTTGAATGTGAGAAATGCTGGTAGAAAGTTTAATAGGAACTACGTATGCTTGATTGATATATTGAAGGAGAGAGAGGGTGTTCAGCCGCCATCCGAGAGAAGTCGAGCCAACTTATCCACTCAGTGATGGTTCTAAATTCAGGCACACTCGTTCAACATGTTTGAGTAACCTCACCAACCAAACCAGACGTAACAGATTACACAACCCCAGTCATGTCTTTCCTTGGGTGGCTAAACCTTAATGACCCTAGACTGAGAGGTTAAGACAGGTGGTTTCGTAACTTGACTAACACACTTGCAAGCTTACATCTTATGATCTTGATCAGATATGCTTACGGACTTACGTATCTTGACATTTGCCGTTTTTGATCACTCTGATTTAGGAGCGGTATTGCGTATAGACGTTAACACACACACATACCCTCGAGCAAATGTCGCAGGACCAATAAGAAAGATAATTAGACAACCCATTCTATATATATATCTATGTCTATCCTTTTTCGTTTATTAGTCAAGTGTATGTATAAGAGGTAAGATAGAGCCGGATAATCTTCTTGCACTAGTGTTACTTTGAGACTTTTACAAGAATGACTTCCAGCTCTGATGATGTCCATCACATGATGGGCGAAAACCCAGTCCGTTTTCACCCGAAACGAGGGAGGAG